TTTCTGTACATAAAAATGTATTGTGTAAAATTTTTATTTGTTTTGAGTTTCTCCCGTTTAAATTGTTTCAGAAATTAAGACTTACACAGGATCTTGTTTTATGGTAGTATATCTCTGAAAATTTAGACCAAGAGTGGAAGGGAAATAGAATTTATTAATTATTACTTTTGGTTAGACTGAAAATCGATGTAAAAGATTTCTTGTAAAAAGCGTGTTGGAATTCTATGCGTAATTTTTAAATTTGTTGATAATTTAAAATTTTCTTTTTCATTTTCTAGCAGCACAAAATGCGGGACGAAGTGTGTGTGTGTAAATAGTTACGGCCAGAGCCGCAATAAGGGGACTCACAGGATCAAGAAACGCAATGAAAACCAAATATTAAGACATAAAAGGCATCATAATACCTATAATAACATATGCATCTTTTGCATGGACATACACATGTAATACCAACAAATAGAAGATACAAGTAAAAATCAACAGATGCTTAAGAGAAGCTGAAAATGTACCCAGCTACATAGCTAAACGCCTCCTGTTTAGAGATCTGAAGCAAGTAAGGGTACTAGAGATAATAGAAGAAAAAACCAGAATAAAATTCGTTGAGCTTACCACCCAAAACAGATCCTGCGAGAGATATTAGGGCGTAATGTTTTTCACAGATAGAAGCACAAAGAACCAAAATAACAGACATTAGCAAATCAATTACAGTCTAGATGATATTGTAGATCTATTAGAAGAAGACATCACGCTTGCCTTAAGGCATTTTACTTATATTAATCTGATTTCCGTTTTAGAAATCCCTTAAAACAAAACTAAAGAAAACGGCTGTGGCCACCAAAAGAAAAATGGGCAAAAGAGGCCCACACACTCGAGCGCTAAGTCGCCGAACTGGGCCTACCCCGGAGCGGGGACTCGGCACCCACCAAGGAATGCATTTCGATCGATGATAAGTCAGTAGAAAGGATAGTGAGACTATCGCGTCTCACGCTGTCTTGCTCGACTCAAGGAAATATATCATGTGGAGGTCTTTGTACTCAGGACTCCCATTCTTGTTCTTTAAGTTCCGCTCCTATAGGAGATTGAAAATCATTCTGGCAATTGTAATTTTGTTGGTTACGCTCCTGAATAGTTCAATCGAACTACATCCAAACCATTCACGGAGATTGCGTAACCACAAGATTTTATGCCTTCCTACGCTTCTTCTGCCTTTGATTTTGCCAGCAATAAAACAGCGATATAATGAAAATATCAGAAATAGAAATGGAGACCTTCTTACGGACCTCTGCAGCATAAACGAAATACGTATTAATAATACATTTTTCCCTCAAAAAGAACAATACAAATACATTTGAAAACAGTAGAGAACAAATATCTATGATAGACTATATTCTGTCGAATAGAGAGTTACAACCTTCTTAAATCTTATATGTAAGAGCACTAACATCAGCAGAAATAAGAAGCATCATAAATTAGTATTGTGCAAAAACCGAATAAAAAGACATAGATGTGATAACAAAACACCAGAATACACCACAAAGATAAAAGTCGAAAGCTTACAGGATGACTCCACAAGACACTTATTACAAAAAAAAATAACCGAAAAAAGTAGAAACGCATATATTACAGAAAGTGATGGAGTCGAAGAAAGCTGGACAAAAATTAAGTCTAATACCTTAGTCTCGACCAAGGAAGTTCTTGGTGAAAGAAATAAATAAAAATAAATCGTTACCGAGGCAAAGAACTCCATGGTTTTGTAGAGAAGTGAAGGAAAAATGTAAAGAAAAGAAAAAAGCTTACATGAAATACATATCAACCAAAACACAAGGGGCATACCATAATTACAAAACAATTAGAAACGATGTAAGAAAAATAAAAAATGATCACCGGGAACGCTTTTGAAAGAAATTAAACATTATTTTTACGGTCTGCAAAAGGAAATATGGCGAGTCATAGGAGGTCAAAGAACGGAGGTAAAGGAACTAATAGAACCCAAATACATAGAAAAGGATACGTGGATTGACTACCTAAAAAAGCTCTATGCAGAGAAAGAACAAACGAGGCTAGAACCGGAAACACCAGAAATTACCACAAATGAAGAATTTAATGTGAATGTACAGGAAGTTCGGAAAATACTTGAAAACCTGAAGAATAGAAAAGCAGCAGGTAAAGGCGGGATACCAAACGAATGACTGAAATATTGTGGAGCAGCAATGACGAAACAATTAACAACATTAATTAATAAAATTATGAAACCCAATAAAATACCGGAAGAATGGAGAACGAGCGAAGCAATTCTACTATTCAAAAAAGGAGATAAAAAAATAGTCAGAAATCTACAGAGGTACAAACTTGTTAAATACTACGCTAAACTTACAACTACAATTGTGCTAATAAATCAGAGGATAAGTTTTGCAAATGAACAACATCGTTCTCGTAGTGGAAGATTGTGTACAGATGCAATATTCGTTATAAAGCAAATTACTGAGAAATCACTAGAGTATAAATATTATAAAAACTATCGAAAACATCTACCAAAACCACAAAATGGAAGTCAGAATAGATAAACAACTTACAGAACCTATAGAAATAAGCAGCAGAATAAGACAAGGAGATTCATTGAGCCCATGCTCAATTTGATCATGGATGAAATCATAAAAAGCGTTAACAAAGAAAGAGGATACAGAATGGGAAACAAAGAAATAAAAATACTCTGTTACGCAGACGACGCAATATTGATACCTTAAGATGAAGATAGTCTACAAAGATAGATCCACAGATTTAAATCAGAATATAAGAGCAAAAGAATTTAATATGACAATCTCATCTCAGAAAACTAGAACAATAGTAGATTGCATCAGTATTGAACAAGTAATGGAAATAAAATACCTGGGAATTACACTGTCTAGCTATGAAGAACTGAAAAAAGAAGTGAGAGGTCAATTACAAAAAGTGGAAGACCACTACTAGTTTTTTGCCATCCCCACTCACTTGGGTCTTTTTGTTGCTCGTTAGGTGTGGCTTGACCGGATAACCACTGCTGCACCTGATAGTAAACTCTCAGTGAATGTTCTCGTGCAGCAGCTTCAGTTGGGGACAATGAGAAAATCTTTCCAAACCTCAGATTCAGATTTAGCACCCCAAAACACATATGGAATGAAAAAATCAGAACTTCCCCAAAACTTTCCTACTAGTATCACTTTACAGTACAAATTTACTGAATTACAATGCTTTTCTGGACAGCGACGGATATTCATTTTTAACTTTTAGCAAAAATTCACACAGCTCTTCTTTGTTGAATTCCACTTGTAAAGCTCCATCGCAAGATAACTTTATCAGAGATTCCTTTTCATTTACACTTAAATTTTCACGAACACTATCCAGATCCGAAACGAATGGGTTCCTTATCCAATTGAACTCCAAATAATCTTCTTTAAAATATTCTTCAAATATTTCAACGATCATTTGGCTGTGATTAGCGTAGTCTCTCAGACTACGTACCATTCGCTGTTATATATTTTCAATATTATTATATGGAGCTGAGACTTGGACATTAAAAAAATGTAATTTAAAAAGAATCTAGGCCTTCGAACTCTGGTTATACCGCAGAGTATTGAAAATATCATGGACTGATAGAATTACAAATAAAGTAGTACTGGAGAGGGTTGGTAAAGAAACAGAATCACCACTATACAAACCAGAAACTGGAATACCTAGGCCACGTGATGAGGGGACCAAAATATGAAATTTTGAGATTGATAATACAGGGAAAGATTCAAGGAAGAAGATCTGTTGGCCGAAGGCAGAACTCATGGTTAAAGAATCTACGTGATTGGTACCAATGCAGATCGATTGATTTGTTTAGAGCAGCAAGTTCTAAAATAAAAATAGCCATTATGATTGCCAACCTCCGTAGGGAGACGGCACTCTAAGAAGAAGAATCAGTTCTCGCTTTTTAGCTGACGCCTAACCCAACATAAAGGTAACCATATATTTTGCTGCAGGTAACAACAACTCTTCGCCAATCGTGTGAGCTTTTCCTGACTTTGCAATTCTTAGGCTAACTAAGAATGATGCCTCTACTGATTTTTCGGTACTACCAGTAAAGTAAGACATGACTTTCTTAATGCTTTTCATTTCTGTTAATTTTCGGGTGAAAAAATCCTTCGGTTTGTTTACTAATGTAGAATGTTTTGTGTTAAAATGACGATTCAGTAATGAGGGTTTCATACTTTGATTTGATAAAATTTCAAAGCAGATGACACACTGAGGGCGTGGCTCATTATTTACATCCGTCACCGTAAATCCAATATTTATTTAGTCTGGTGCATATTTTCTAGTAATTTTTCGAATTTTAGCAGGTATTTTATCTTGTTGAATTACCGCACAATCTGGCTCTGAAGTGGAACTCGATGGTAAAGAATTTTTAACATCATCTTGAATCACGGCACAATTTAATTCTTGAGATGAACTTGGTGGTACATTATTTTGAGCACAAGGTCTTTTTACACTACTAAGCCACTTATCCATGTTAATTCAAATATATTAAACATGACTGGTTGGACGTGCGTGCGGACGCTCGATACCTTTGTCACTGTTTGACTGGTGGCCACTGTAGGGATCGCAAGTTAACATCGATGTTTAGAAAACATCGATGTTACAGGTTAACACATCGATGTTTTAACTTTGATGTCAGGCTTATGTAACATCGATGTTACCATCGATGGATACCATTCGATAGTGATCGATGTTTGTTCATGAATATCAGTATCCTCATAAATGAACTCGAAGTCTCTACTTGGCGCCAAAAGAAGGGTGAAGGGAAAGAAGTGTTGTGTGTTGTCGACTGTCGACAATATTTATGTCAACTTCGACCTTGAGCTTTGTTGAGCTTGGCTTGGCTTGAGTTTTCTAGTATTGTTATTTTAGTTCTCTGTTATTGTATTGTGTATTTCTTTGTTTTCGGTTTTCGGCTGTTATATTCTAATATTACTTGTTGAAAGATGCCATCAAAAAGTGAATTATGGAGATATTTTGACAAACTTAAAGATGGTAAAGCTTCTTGCAGGATTTGCAAGAAAATTCTGAAAACATGTGGCAATACATCTAATCTACGTTGTCATATAAATAGTGTCCATAAAATGGTTTTGGGTAAGAAATATTAATGTGATAGTATTTTATCTTAAAATGTTAAATATATATGTTTTTTAGAAGATGAAATAAGAAAAATTAAAACATCTAGTTCATCTGAAGAAGTGGAACCCAGTTTTAAAAAACAAAAAATTGAAGGTGGTGATAAAGTTGAAGTTAAAATTACTGACTCTGAAATTACACAGATTCCTAGCTGTTCAAGTTCAGATAATTTGTATCAAACAAAACAATTAACGATTGATACAAGTATGAAGCGAATAGTATCTTATGGGGAAGGTGGTAGTAAACATAGCCAAATAACTAACACTATTTGCTATATGATAGCTAAAGATTGTCAGCCATTTACTATGGTAGAAAATAAAGGTTTTAAAAAACTAATGAAGTTAACTTCGCCCCTGTACAAAATGCCAACAGCAAATACGTTTAAAAAACAAATTGAACAAAAATATAATTTTGTGTCTGTAGAAGTAAAGAAAAAACTAGAACTATTAAAAGCATATTGTATAACATCAGATATTTGGACAGAAACCATGCAAACATTAAGTTATTTGGGATTTACAATTCATTATGTTGATATGGAAGATCATGAATTAAAATCTATAATGTTAGAGGTGTATGAATTAAATGAAAGGCATACTGCTGAGTATATAGCAGAAAAACTGGAAAATTTATGCACAGAATGGAACTTGAAGAAGGATTATATAACAACCATAGTAACAGATGGGGGATCAAATATGGTCAAAGCTAGTGAAATCTTTGTAACAAAAAAAAACACTTAGTTTGTTTTGCTCATACACTAAATTTAGTAGTTGAACGGTCAATTCAAAACACACAAGATTTGAAAGAACTTATTAATAAAGTAAAACAAATAGTTACGTGGTTCAAACATAGTGTGAGAGCTAGCGATGAGTTACGTACTCTAACAAGTTACAAATTAATTCAAGAGGTATGTACATATTTTTTTTCAAAGTGTAGAATATAAGTTTCATAACATTTATTTTCAGGTTAGCACCCGTTGGAACTCAACATATTACATGTTGAAAAGATTTCTTAATTTAAGGGGTTCAATAAGTAATATAATAAATAAATGTGACTATATTGGTGAAATTTTAAATCTTCTAAGGCCCCTAGAAGCAATAACGAAGGAAATATCGGGCGATAAGTATCCAACCTGTGGTATGATCATACCACTAATAAATGTATTAAATATGCAAATTTCCAAAATAAAACCACAATATTCCATTAGTGAAAATCTAAAAAAAAATATATTAGCTGAATGCCAAAAACGTTTTTCAAATGCTGCACATAATACCACTATGGCAGTATGTACATTACTAGATCCTAGGTTCAACAAGCTACATTTTCAAGATGCTCAAGCACTGGCAAAAGCGATTATTGCTTTAAAAGAAGAGTATAAATTAATATCAAATATAGTGAATCTCGATGAAAGTGATGAATCATCAGATTCAGATCATACATCAGGTAAATAATTAAATTACATTTTATATTATAACACTAATATTTATTTATAAACCAAGAATATGCTTAAGTGAAATGTTTGTTACAGAATTCAATTTATGGCAAGATCACCATAAATTGTTAAAAGAAGACTGGATTAAATCAAAACAAAAAAAAAGTGATGCTGATGGTAAATTACCAGAAATCTCCATGTATTTTCAAACTCCACCAACAGGTCGGATTGGAGACAATCCTTTACATATATGGAAAGAATTGGCAAGTTCTCATCCAAACATGGCCCAGTTAATTTCCAAGTATTTTTGTAATGTTGGGACATCTGTCCCTTCAGAACGTTTATTTTCTAAAACTGGAATAATAATTAACCAACAGAGGAATCGGTTAAAACCCAAAACTTTAAATCAACTGTTGTTTCTACAATGTGTTGAGGACAAATATTGGGGGTTGGGCTAGCTTTTGAAGTATTGTATTAAGTATTGGTAACATTTTGTTAACCATTTTAGGTTTAAATAAATTTGACTGATCTTGATTACATTTACTAATATAATTGCCTTTTTCTTTTTTACACCAGGATTCAATTTTTAACTGTGGAGTGTCCAGCCAAAAGCGAAAAAATTGATTTTCTCACTGACCTTGACAACATGCAAACTATCCTTTACATGTTGCATTTTTTTTGCAGGCCAGTGAATTTTTTTTACCTAAAAATAGCCAGGTCTTAATGAACTATCTAAGTCTGATGTCACAATGGGTGGGATATTTTAAAAAGCTTTCCAAACATTTCTAATTTGAGTGTATTTATCCCATATGAAGTTGGAAATGTTTTTTTTTTTAATTTTTTGAAGAATAAATAAGGACTTTTGGTTATGAACATTCATTCTGTGTGCTTTTTTTTTGTTGTTTGTGAATATGTGAGGTAAGAAAATCAAAGTATTAAGATATTTACTATACCTAACTGTTGAATCCTGAAAAAGAATAAAAAAATTCATTTTGTTGTAGTTTAAGTTGTAATATAACATTCTGTAGAAGCCTTTCTATTATATTGCCATAATAAGTGTTTAAAAAAAGTTTTTTGGATGTTGTAACAGTTTTTGAGTTCATTTTTTAGATTTGGGCATATAATAGCTAGTAAACATGTGTTGGAAGATATCCAGTGTTACTGAATTTTTTAGTAATGACAACAAAACTACTATTAAGTAGTTAAACTAGGAGAAAACAAATATACTTACTCTTTTGGGCGATAAAATCACTAGCACTTAATAAAACATTAATTTAAATATTTTTTAACTTGGTAAATAAATTCAATGATTTATTTATTAATTTTGAAATATCCTCGATAAAATCAACAACAAAATACCTTGAAATACAGTAAAAATAATTAAAGTTTTAATCAAACAGAAACATAACCTTAAAATAAAAAACATAGTACAAATCGCACAGAATGAATGTTCATAACCAAAACCAAATGTTCTTATCTTATTTATTCTTCAAACAAACAATATTTCCAACTTCTTATAAGACATACAAATTAGAAATGTTTGTAAAGGTTTTTAAAATTCCCGCCCATTGTGACGTCAGAGCTTGGGTAGCCCATTGGCTTTAAAACGAATGAATAAAACATCGATGTTTTAGAAACATCGATATTTTTTTGACGATGTATCGTTTACATCGATGGCATGTTTCGATGTTAACATCGATAGCAAACATCGATGTTCATATTTTTTTTGCGATCCCAGTGGCGTCGCGGTCGCCGACAGATGCGCTGGCCAGCAAAATCTCTCTCTCTTCAATCCTGACCCCCCAGGGGGAGTGTAGTGGTCAACGTGATGTCGTGTATTGTCCGTCTCCAGAGATCTCTGTCTCTGGTCATTTCTTTTAATTCATGCATAGGTCTTTGGCATATTCCTGTAATTTGATCTATCCATCTTGTTGGGGATCTTCCTCGTGATCTTCGGCCTTCTACCTTCCCTTGTATTATGAGTCTTTCCATGTTTTCTGTGTTTGCTCTTATAACATGCCCAAAATATTTTAATTGTTGGAGATGGACTTTACTAGAGAGTCGTTGGCTAACTTTTAGCTCTCTTAAAATTGAATTATTTGTTCTACGGTCAGTCCAGAGAATTCGTAACATTCGTCTCCAACAGAACATTTCAGTGGCATCTATCTTTCTTCTATTCGATTGTCTCAGTGTGCAAGATTCACATCCGTAGGTCAGTATTGGGAATATTAAGCAGTTGATCAATCAGCCAGCAAAATAGGCTTAGCTTAATGCAAACTAGACCCGACGGCGCCCACACACGCCGTGGGGTTATTAACTCAGTAAATTTTACTGTGTATGTCCTATGGCTGCTTGCGTACCACCTTAATAATCGTCGCGTACCACTGGTGGTACGCGTACCACAGTTAGGGAATCGCTGGTCTAGAGCATTAGGACAGGCGCGAGTGATCCCTGTTTTATATGAATCAATCTCCCTCTCCCTATTGAATTGTATTCTCGTTTATTTCTATTATTTGCTAGCTTATATTTTAATCCATATATGTTTAATATTCTTCTAAGATTTATGCAGTAAAGGAAAAATAGTAAAATTAGTTTTTTAAAGTCAATCGATTTTCCTATTAGTTGTCGTAAGTAAACAGCATCGAATGTGAATCTCAACCACTGTAACCACTGTTACTTTTCCTATTAACCTACCTGATTGACTATCGCTTGTTTCAAGTGGTTTCTTTAACATTGTATGATAGATCAAAGTAGCATTATTGCTACATCATTAAATTATTTTCTTTGTTTTTACTTTACTTTTTTGTATATGTGAATGATATTGTCGTTCTATGTTCCTGCTTTGTGGTCCCATATCGTATATACCCTTAGAGAATACAAAGTCGAATCGTTTGACGTGGTACCGATATAATGAAAGAATCACAACATTTTTGGCAATTATTTTTATTGCAAATTTAAAATTGTAATTGAGTCGGTTCTGAGAAGACTACGTTTTCAGAGATCATTGGTCAGAAACAAAGAATAAATCACCTATAACAATTGACGAAATCAGATTCCCGACACGTACCTTTTCTTACGTGACTGTTGCCGCTTGTGTGAAAAATTCGGCTTGAAGGTCATTTACGAGAAATTTATTTTAAATGTAAAAACATATCTACTTTTTTATAGGAGTTTAATTACTTTCTTGATTACTAAATCAGATTATTTTCTTCTTTCTTCACTTTTCGTTATCATATTTTCTCTTTTCTTTATTTTTCTTATTATGTTCTCACTTATCACTCAATATTTTCAGTAGAAGTACAATGCTCCTACCTCATGTCAGAGATTTATATCGTGTCTCCGTCATCGTCGTTTTTGCACTATGGTCCATTTAGATAATACGTTCATTCTAATTATTTTCTTCTACTTTAGTTCCGCTCATTTACATTTCGATTGAAAATT